TTTTATGAGAAGACTCACAGGCAATGTCAGTTCAAAAGTAAAGAATAACCTCCATCCTCCATCATTTGTGTTCAAATCTGTGCTCAATATCTCTATCAGCTGAGATCCTTAAATGGCCAGATCACTGTCAAAATGCCCTATTAAGCTATGCTTAAGTCCACTAAGTACGTAACCAAAATTTTTACTTTTTTACTTTGCCACAATCTAGGGGATAATTTCCTAGCTCAGAAGTGAACTTTACATGCACATAACCCAAAGTGGAGTTTGTTAGTAAACTGCTGCTATAATCCAAATGAAAGTAGTTTTTTGAGGGTCATGAAATTATCTTTTGTATTATAAGAAATTCACTACTAGATAAACAATATTTAAATTATTTTAAGTTAAAAGAATGGTTTCTGATTATTTTTGTTAAGACTTACCAAATTTTAATCATAAGAGTTTGACAGTGCTCCTTTAACACTATTTGGATTACATATTTAAAAAATGCATTTTAAGTTTAAATACTATGTCATGTGAGTGTTTAGAACTCTGTTGATTTCTTTGTAGCATCTAAATATATGTTAATGCAGTTTTCAATAGACTGGGAATTGATATAAAAATCAGATTAGAAGTTTTGTTCTGTAATCTGTCAAGGCTGTTACAATGTTAAACAACAGTTTGCACATAATTAATTTTTTTTTGTGTATTATCATAATAAAATATTATAATCCTATGCAGTTAAGTAATATTTTCTAGGTATCTCTCAACAGAAGCACTTTTCATTCTAGATGGAGTATATTTACAAGTTGCTAGCAGAATTATTTATGCTTCCGAGAAAGAAACTGCATTAAAAAAGTTTACACATTGTACATGCACTTTGCCTTATAAGAGCAGACATCTGTAGCCAAAGAAAAAATAATAATGCAGCTCTGTTAAGGAGAGCTTGAGTGAGATAAATGTGGAGGAAAAGGAGGATTTATTAATATTTAATGTTAAAAATCTGGGTCTCAGCATTCAACCAACACTGGTCCAAGTTCTTATTTATAATTAATGCATATGTAACTTAAATCAGTAAGTAGTACCTCTTGGGTCTAAAAATTCAACTATGTATTATCCAAAATACTGCTACTCCATCTAAAGTCCTTTCACTTTCAAATTGAATTAGGAAATATAGAAATTATTTAGAAGCAATGAAAAAACCCATTCATTATGTTCTATTTTAAATTTATTTGATGTTAACTATTACACGAGGGAGCTGCTAGCCAAAACATTTTGGCTGTATTGCACCGGGTTTTCAGGGCAGTCAGACAGCCGTTCCGAGGTGCCTCCGTAGTGCAGGCACTCGAATGCTGCGAAGTCCCTTTTCTAACTTAAACAGCCGCCCGTTGCTTGGCGTAGTGGGATCCTACCCTAAAGCCTGTTACTGCACGTGTAGTGTCCGTAGGGTGGGAATGTCCCCTCGCTGTCCCGCCCGCTGACCGCGCCAGCTCCGCGCTGGGGGCAGCGACGCCGCTGGCTGGCCACAAGCCGGAGAGGGGCTGCATTTACCATGAAAACAACAGAATCGAGTATCAGATTAGAAACCAGCGGTGTTACAAGCCTGCTCCTTGCTTTTACTGTGTTACCCAAAACCATCTTCAGCATAGTTACTCCTCATTACTCAGATTTTATTGGACAGTCTAATCTCACAATAATTTAAAAATTATTGGTTAAAGAATTATTTTACATTTAACTCTGCATATTCCCACACGTGTCCAACAGAGTCCTGGGGAGGCAATGAGGCATTCAACAGAAATTAAAATTGGAAAAACAAACAATAAAATTTTTTAGAAACCCAAACAAACAAACAAAAACCAATCCCCCCCCCAAAAAAAAACAAACCAAAAAACCCCCAAAAAAACCCAAAAAGACTTGACATGGAAAAAGGCTCAGAAACACTTCTGTGATTGTGCCAGATATTTCCCAGCAGTTTGACCCAGATGCACAAAAGAAGCACATTCACAATCATCAAACTGGCAATGATACTTGGTATGTTTTTAATATGGCTTTGTATTTTTACATACGATTTGTTCTAAGAGTGACATGAACAGAACTCTCTTGATTTGCATGAAATCTTGCCCAACTTCTCCTTTAAAAAAAAAAATCAAGATTAATTTAATCTGATATGTGAGCAGTTGGGATGAGGTTTATAGTCTTCTGCACACTCAAATTCAGTTTAGGACAAGAGAGTGGTAGGATAGTTTCAAATACTGATAAAATTAGGACTAGAGAAGAATATATCTTCACTGAAAGGGAAGACAGACCTGGCAGACAGCCCCACAAATGACTTTTAAAAAGCAATATATGAGTTTGAAAATTAAGTAAAAGCCAGTAACAACATCTTTAAGTATATTCCATTATTAATTATTTTCCTTATTAAGCTGACGGTATGTATGTGTGAGGAACATGCTAGTGCTATTCTAACCTTCCAACTCTATTCATAAGAGGTCATTTTAAGATGGGTTTAACCAACTTTGAAAATGCAAGGATTTATAAGTCACTGCTACCACCACCATATTTTTAGATATTATTATTTGAGCCTGTCTGTTCTCTTTGGAATTTTTTTCTTCTCCATTTCACACGCAGTATGAGCACTGCTGCTAACTTAAATCAATTTACAAAGGGTGGAGCTTTGGTTTCTAGAGCAACTTTTTAGCTTAAAAATTTAGAAGTAAGGACCTGAATGTGGATCTCCAGTTGCCAGAAGCACACGCAGAGTATCAGTATCAGGTATTTCACTCTGCCTGACACAGAGCAGCCAGGGCACGGGTGCACCATGAGAGAGGACAACGTGGAAGTGAAGTGCAGTCACAACACAGGCAGGGATTGTGTCCTCCCTGCAGAGAAACTTGACCTGTCAGCAGCCCAGTGACTACAGACAATGGTAAGGTAATGACTCAAGTTCATGGCCAGGCCATGAAGTCTGGTAAATATGTCAGCAAGAGCAGCACACAGTACAAGAACAGGAATAACCCCAGTGCAGCTCAGGCAAGAACCAAGGGGCCCTATGCTGACACCCAGGATCAACATGCAGAGGAGGTGAGAGTAGGGATGAATCAGTGCAATTTGGGGCTCTTGGTTCAGTTGCGGGCTCCTGGTGCTACACACTTCACTCACCATTTGGTTTATGCTTCCTTTTCTCTCTGGACAAGTAAATGTGTTGTATGAAACACACACAAAAAGAAAACTAATCTGTGGTTATATTTGTACCACAGTACAGGTTGAGGGTCAAACCTGCCAGTAATTTATGCTTTTAATTGCAAAGCTACCATCTGTAAATGGAAGTCAATTACAAACCTCTTGCCTCTGCCTATTTGATCTGTGGATCAGGCATAATATGAATAGACAGAAAAATAAGTTTCATCAGTGTTTCAGTCACATATAGGGTATTTTTTTTTTTTTGAAAGAATGCCTAATCCAGTGTCTTGGCTGTATAGTGTGACTCTACCAAGTAATTTGAAGAAGGCAAAAAGTCTTATTTTCGCTTGACTTTGTTCAGGAAGAATGTGTCTTGACCAAACCAAACTCTACATATTCAACTCTCTGTGTTCAGTGTAAGCCCATTAATAGTTTCTGTTTGGAAACATAGGTGCAAAACATCTCCAAGACCTGAAGGAATTTTTCATTGTCTAAGAATTTTCAGTCTATCTAGCCAGACTGCATAACACACTACTAGCAAGGATCTGAATATCATCATGGTCCAGTTAGTAACAGTGTACTATGTTGTCAAAGCTAGTTATGAAACAGCCCTTGTTTATGAAGCAAGGCACACTGACAATTTGTCACACTCCAGAGCATTGAGGCACCACTTTTCACAAATCCGAGTTTTCTCACAATTGATATGAGCATTTTCTCCACACAGATATGTAATGTTGATTTACTGACCGTTTTGCAAGACACAAAAATATTAGTGTCAATGATAACGGGAACTATACATTAAGGTCTTCAGTCTCCACACAGTACATATTGCTTTCAATCAAATTTTTAGTAAGGCAAAATCTGTACAAATGCCAGAAATGCTTCTATAAATGCCGCTTTTGTGTGCTCCTCCACAACCCACCGCACACACAACAGCTGGAGTGAGCAGTAGCGAGCAGGCCCTGGGTCCACGGGGAGTTCTTCTGACACAGCCACCACACATCCAGGTTACAGCAAGGCCAGTAGAAGTGTTGACCACAAAAATCGGATTTGTTACCTAGTGTGCAATAAGCCAATAATTACACACTTGAGGGAGATATGGATTCTTTGTTTTAGAGTTGCACAAGCCTGGGTGCTGCATGGTATTCCATGAATCAAGCATGCCAACTATCAAAAAGTTTTTAGTATTTACACATTTTAGCAAACACATGCATTAGGCCTCAGGTTACGTAGTTCTCTTAATAATGATTATTCTAGCTTCTGTTGTTAATTATTCTCTTGCTTCTCATGCTAATTAGTCCACATGCCCAGTCGTTCTCCTGAGTCGGTGGGCAGCTGGAAGTGAAGCTGATTCAGCACAATTGCTGAGTTGCATTTAGTAATTTCTTCCGTATGTGGGGAGTTCTGCCAAATGTCCTCGTGGCCAGGAAATTCTGAATTGTTTGCCTGACATCACTGAAATACGTCGGGCCCTAGAGCTTGCCAAGGAAATTCCGACAAAAGATTTTTCTTTCTAACCCCTGGACATCACTTTAAGCTTGCTCTGTATCGTCTATCTGTTTCAAGGATTAAATCTCCTTTCTTGTTGATTAGGCTTGAAAATCAAGATCAAACATCCAGAAACATCCTTCTTTAGGAAAACTTTCTCGTGTTGCCCGTTTCGCAGCAGAAGCGGTTCGACGACCGAAGACTACACCGGGAGCCATTGCCCACTCAGAGCACACCCCTTCCGCCCTGAGTGGCAGAATCTCACCCAATAGCAGAGCGCTTAGGGCTCGCAGGCGGGAGTTTATCGACTCTCGGCCAATCAGACGTAGGTACTTGGTGGGGGCGTGGCTTGAGAGGCGTCGCCAAGGCCTGGAGCGCGCCGTCGCCGCGTCTCGGACGCGGCACGTCCGGAGCCGTGCGGAGCGGAGCGGAGGGGGCACGTTTGCCGGACCCGGCTGCCCGGCAGCGGCACGATGAGCCTGGCCCTCAGGTCGGTACGAGCACGCCGCTTCCCTGCTTCGCCCATCCACGGAGCGCGGATGGGGGTCCCTCAGGGCCGCACCGCCCCCGTTCGGGAGGTGTTGGCGGAACGCGGGGCGCTTCAGGCCGTGGTGGGGCCTGGGTGTCATCCCCGGCCTCCAGCCGGTCACATCTGATCTCTTTGGCGCGGCCGGGGAAGGATCAGGGCCGTCTCTCTGCTGGATGAGTGAAGGGTCCGGCGCATCTGGCCTTGGGAGGTTCTCTTCTGGGTTGTCTGATATGCTTTCAAAAGGCCTGTGAATAGGCATAAAGTTGAACTGCTCGGCTGTGTTTTGTTTATAAATTCTGATTTAGTAGCTGTTGCATAAAGGACCTGGCAATTTCTTGTCTTCAAGTGTAATGAATACGCTTACATGGTAACTGTTATCCTTAATTTTTAAGTCTAAGAACTTCATGATTAATATGGTTAAAGTAGTCGCAGAAGTGGCACTAAACTGCTTGTATGTGAGTACTGCTTTTCTTTTTGATAAATTATTTTATGCTAAGCGTTAAATGAACACTTAAGTACTCAGATTGCTCTTTCAGAATGTAATCTGCCTTTACATGTATAAGTGGATTTCTTCATTGTAGCTCACAAAATCTGGGCTCCCTAGATTCTGAGCTACTCTCCCAGTCCTAATTATGTAGCAAGCTCAGAGTTATTGTGGTCCTTCCAAGAGTTGTAGTAATCCAAAGCCTGTGTGAAATCATACTGTCTCAATTGGTGTGTTAAGGACATCTTATTCTTTGAGGGTAATGTGGTTTGAAGCAGGCTCAGCTTCTGTGGCTTGCACTTTTCATGCCTGTATTTGGGATTTTTGCTCCAGTGGTTGTTGAAATCTAAGTCTAATAAGTATTTAATCTTAGGATTTGATTAAAATTAGCAAATTGTCAACAAAGAAGGGCATAAAGTAGGTTATTAGAGGGGATTTAGAAAGTTAATCTCGCAGTTTTCTGATCAGTAATCTTTATGCATTGTGCACTAGGTGATGCAGCACTCATTCTGCTTCTGGTGCAAAAGGACAAATGAGCATAAAAAGCCTGTTCCTGAGATTATGGCATAAACTATACAGTGATTTAGGTTAGGAAGGACTTACGGAAGTCATCTAGTCCAGCTTCCTGATGATAGCAGCTTCTACATAAAGCTGGCTGAGGATAAGCACCTTTTGTAGTTAGGTTCAGAAAATTCTGATGGAGACTACTTCCCAGTGGGACTGTTCTAACACACATGCACTGAGAAAATGTTTTCTCTTAGATCCAGGTGCAGTTTCTCCTCCAGCTGCAGTTTTTTCCCTTAAATTTTGTAGTTGTTGTCTCTTGTCCTTTTATTATGTTCCTCTGAAAATATAAGCTTATTCCTAGATTAGCCAAAGAAAAGGGGGCTGACTTTGAGCTAGATTTGCTGATTTGTAGGGCTTGGCTCATTTGTATATACCAAAACCGAGCAAAACATCTTCAAAACATTATGTATATGTTTATATGGGATCTAAAGGATTAAAAAAAAAATCCTGCAAGTTCTATTTGTCTAAGAACTGTTACAGGCAACAAAACTGATTTGTAGCACCTAATGCTAGTTTTAGTAGCCAGACTTGTTTGGCCTCATTTGGCTTCCACTGGCCTGTCAGTCCCCAAATTTATTTTATTTTTTTAAGCTACAGTGTGGAAACTAACTGTTTTCATGAGTAGTATAATTTCAACTGCTAATCTAGTTTGTAACCTCAAGAAGCCTTTTTAACTGGTAATTTTTCTAACCTCTTTTTTTTTTGTTGTTGTTGCTGCTTATTAACAAAAATGCCTGTGCTGGTTTTATTTTGGGTAGGAGACGAGAGGTGTCATTCAGATTTCACAAGGTAATTGTCTGTTTCTAATATTATTTTAAACTGGGAATACAAGCTGGGAAAATACTGACTAGGTAAGGTACTGATTTCTAAAATTATGGTGAGTTTCTTATTGGTGGAGAAGGTTATCTACAGTGGCATCTTCCCAGTAGAAATGTGTTACACTATGTTTTCTTTTCATTATATAGGAATGAGCTCTCAGTAGATAAAACTAAAAAGAAGAAAAGAAGAGAACTGACTGAGGAACAGAAGCAAGAAATTAAAGATGCCTTTGAATTGTTTGATACAGACAAGGATAGAGCGATAAATTATCATGAATTAAAGGTAGAAGTTTCCTTTCATTTAAGCAATTTTATAGCAGATAATATATCTGTTCCATAGTGAATTCTTAAGATGCTGGCTGTATCTTGAAAAACTTCCTTCAGAATGTGTTGCTGGGTTAAAGGAGCAAAGAAAAAAAAAAAGAAGAAACGGGAAATATTCTCTTAGTGTAAGGATAAGCTTTTCTTCTGACGTGATATAGTTAATGAATAACAGAATTGCTATAGAATTCTGAATAACCCTGGTATAATTGCTGACCTGGGATAAGCTTGGACAGATGGAAAAAGTGTCCAAGGATAAGCTTGGACAGAGGGAAAAACTGTTGAAAAACTGTTTGATTATTTTTAAAGACACTGTATAACTTAAAGCCTGCTGTTGGTTTCAGATGTGTAAGTAAAAATTGTAAATGAAATTTGTAGAACTGTTGGCTACAAGCCAGAGCTTACCTGTATTTTTCCAAAGAAGGCCTATGATTTGTAGGAATAAGGTGTGCTTTTTGAGGGAGGCTCAGTAGTTGCCCTTCCCAAAGAAGGATGCTCTTAATGATAGCTATTAGCAGATGGAGTTTAGGATCTCTTTCTAAGTAAGGCCTCCCACCTGAAAGTCTACAGAGTAGTAAATGGGGTTCACTAAACTCATCTTAAATCCTTTATGCATTTTTATTCTAATTTAGACATCAAGAACCAAAAGTTGCTTTGGAGAGGCCAGTGTTTCAGTCACATATAGGGTGAGGGTTTTTTTGAAAGAATACCTAATCCAGTGTATTGGCTTTATAGTGTGGTTCTACCAAGTAGTTCAAAGAAGGAAAAAAGTCTTATTTTTACTTAATTTGCTGCTACAGTAATGTGTTAGGCAGAACAATTCCCTTCTCTTTATTTCACTTATTTTATCTTTGCTGGAAGTCACTGTTACTAGGGTTGTGCTGGATACTCTCTTGGTTGCGGTTATGCTTTTTCTGGTTATGGTATGCTTTGAATTCCCAGCTGTCATGATTACTTGAAAAGCTCTTTCTTAGCTGTCTAATCAAATATTGTCATCCTGAAGCTTATACTGTGAAAGAGCAGAAATACATAAAGAGAAAAACTACTTGTCTCCTTCTCTACAAAATCAGCATATAGTATCAATTTTTGAATAACTGCTTCAGTGGTTTTCCACTGTGTATGGTTAGCCTGCATTCATCAGTTTGGAGGAAGTTAGGGTGCTGTGTGGTGAGCAGTTGCCTTCTAAGGTGAAATGGGAAACTAAATGTGGACTTCAGCACTAATGGAAAAGTAAAACCTAGGTTGGCTTCTGTGGCTGACTAGAAGAGCAGTTAAAAGTCTTGTAGGATTTGTAAATCCATGAACATACACACTTGTATACAATTTGCAGAATGATTTTCAGTTTTGTCTTAAGAAGATCAGATTTTGAAATGATTTTGGAAATGAGGAATAAATTTATTGTCCTAAGATGCATTTGGTCCAGTCTGTAAAATCCCTGAAAATGCAAAGTTGTTTTTTTTTTTTTCTCACTGTAACTAGATATTCCATTTCCTAATAGTAGTTCTAAGTGGTTTTAATATCCCAAGCTCTTTTCCTTTTATTTATTTATTGTTGTTACTAAACCATTGATGTGCTCTTTCTCTCTTGGGCAAGAAGGTAATTACTGAAATAAAAAGGAAAATCTGTTAAATCTTTATTTTGATCCTTATTTATGATCACACTTCCATTTTATTCCAAAAGGTGGCAATGAGAGCCTTGGGTTTTGATGTGAAAAAAGCTGATGTCCTGAAAATACTTAAAGATTATGATCGAGAATCAACAGGCAAGATCACATTTGAAGATTTTAATGAAGTTGGTATGTGATTGTGTTTGTACCTCTAGAGACATTTAGCCTGTAGTAGTGAGTACAATTTCAAAGCTGCACTTCGTGGACTTCTTCAATTGTTTAAGAAATAGAAGTGGGAGATTTCATTTAATATTTTGTTTAATATAGGCCAATAGTAAAGAAAGATAAATATTTCTTTTCTGAATTCTTAATTTGATATGTGGAGATGAATGATAGCTACAGTATAAAAGGAAGTAGGGTATACACAATCTCTTTCAAGCTTACACAGAGGAATAAATGCTAGTTTAAACTGTAGATGTTCTTGTCTTGTTCATGGATCTCTGTAAGATTCTTCCTGCTGTGGAAAAGATATTTGGCATTGAATTTCATCGGAAGGAGTGCATATACAGAGAAGCAGACTACAGACTTCATATATAAAAAGATTAGAGAAGTTGAAGTAGATTTTAAATATTGTACTAGAATAATTTTCAGCTGTTGATAGAGCCAGTAGCACTAGTTGTCTTTAATCTGGAATTTGTGTATTGTGAAATTTTATGTACTTTGAGTTTGTAGTGATCTGCAGAATTTTAAGACTTGATGTTTCTTTGAAGATTTTAGGGGATTTTTGTTGTGCATAATTTATGCTTTTGCATACAATTTAAGTTTACCAAAAAGCAATCTGTATGGGTTTACATTTCTAGCTTATTATGTCCATTATAGTTCATTATGTTCATGATAGTCCATTTCTTCAAGGTCTTGTATTTCTGTAGATTTTATGGAACAAAATAACTCAGTACCAATCCCCCAGTATCTATTCTTGGCTACAAATAGCAATCATCTTAATGTATTGAAACAATTAGTGATTGAAATGTGGCAACTTTTAATTGTTTTACAGATTAGTACTGGATGAAATGTCTTGTTAATGGCAGGTAATGTTTTTATAGTTATATTCCAAGTTAGAGAACATTATTTTTTGTTCTTTTCTGATTTATAAAGTCTGTGTGGAAGTATTAGGAAGAAAATGAGTGTATTCATTCAATAGTAATACTAGTCTTAAAATTACATATTACATTATATAATATTATATAAAATTAATATACTGTAATTACCATGCAATTACTTTTTAAATTCCTGATGTTGAGTCCTGTTCATTGTTTTCTTGTTCTGTCCTGGCTATCAATATCAGTCATTAAGTGCTGCAAGAAGCCAGGAAATTCTTGTAGAAAACACAGTATATATATACTTAGAAGGGGATTGAACCTGTTGGAAAACTTGAGTTGAAGTAGTGTACTGCTGTGGTGCCATATGACCTTGACACACAATTAAATATATCACTTCTAAGAGAAAAATTGAGGAGTTAGATAAAATAGGTTATTGAGACATTAACTGTGAGGCGCCCTTGAATGTTAGAGCCTGTAAGAATTTCTCTTAATTTAATGTTCAACTGAAATACATAAAGATGCAATTATAATTTGTCTTCTATAGTTTTGTATTTAGAGGCATTTTATTATTTTTCAGTTGTCTTTTTTCCACAAAAGGTAGCATTTTTCAAATTATGTAATACTGTCATGCAGCACTGTTATTTTGAAAAAATATTTAAATTTAGCACAAATCTGCAGATATATGAACTTGATTGCTGTAGTTGGCTTGTATGAGCATGAAAAATTTTTTCCTCTCAAGTTAGCTAAGCCAGAGCAGACATTCCATCTTCAGTTAGTAGCACATGGTAAGTGGTTCTTTCTGTGCAAAGTGTTGATGTGATTTTAATGGCTTGATAATACAAGACTAGCCCTGCAGTACAAGACTGGCAGGTCCAAACATGTGGAGACACATTATTCTTGGTTGGTCTGAAGTAATTACTAGAGAAATATTTCATGAGGCAAGTTTGTATTTTCTGTTGTGGAAACTGACAAATGATTGTCTTGAAAAGAATAATAAAGGCTGAATAATTCTTTCAGAATAAACATCTTGTGATTCATAGCAGCATTCTTTTCATAACCCCTATGCTTAGTCTTTTTTTGTTTTCAGGTTTGGGGGGCTGGGATGTTGGTTGGTTATGGTGGCTTTTTGTATTAGTGTGGTTTTATATTTAAAAGAGAGGTTCCATGTGGATGTTTTTCTTCACTTACTGTTTCAGTGTTCTCCCCAGCTCAAAATTCTATCCTGATTAAAACATGTAAGTAAAAAAAAAAATTCTCACCTTCATCTAAAAGAGCTGATGGTGTTTTTTTTCTGAAAATTTGGAATTTTGAAAGAGTGGCATCTTGTATATACTTTAAATTCCTATTGGAAAATGTGTGGAAAGTGTAACTGTGTCTGAACTGCCATGCAGTTTCTACTGCAACAATTAAGTCCCAAAGAGCAACTTGGGAAAGCAGAGGTGAGAAAGAGAGGTCAGACAAAAGCCAAACAAATATGCACATTGAATTCTATAGAAATGTAAGAACAGGTGAAATCAGACATGTGTTCTTCATATTGTCCTAGTTTGCAAAGGTCATTCTGAGTTTACCTTTATGAATTTTTTAGTCCAACTTAAGTATCCTTTTTGCAGTGACAGATTGGATACTGGACAGAGACCCACAAGAAGAAATACTCAAGGCATTCAAATTATTTGATGATGATGACTCTGGCAAAATAAGTCTGAGAAATCTGCGCCGGGTTGCTAGAGAATTGGGTGAAAATATGTCTGATGAAGAACTGCGGGCTATGATTGAAGAATTTGATAAGGATGGAGATGGAGAAAGTATGTGTTGGCAAATATAACACCATATCATCTTGCTCTTAATTTTTTTTCCTTTTTTAGGTGTTATTTTGTTGTGAAAACGTCCTCTTTCATTTCCTTCTAGATTCCTTTCATCTCAAGCATAATTTGGCTTACAAATAATGCAGACAATTGCTTTTGACAGCTACTAATCTAGGAATCAAATAGAATCACCACCAACTCTTACTCAGGCAATGTCTAATTAAAAGATGGGTGAAAGTGTAGTTGAAGGTAGAAGTAAGAGAGATTCTGTGTACCTACATTATATTTTTATTTTCTTATTAATCAGTGAAAGCAGTAAAGTGCTGAGAGGAACTCTTTTGGTCACTTACTCAATATATCTTATCTGGCGATGTGTCCTTGTTGTGATTTCAGCATTGGATATGGAGCATTAAGCTAATAAATCATGCTGGAAGTAGCCTCGGTCTGTGTAGGATCAGCTTGCATGGCTGTTTAACATACTTCTGAACCTTGGAGTGCTGAAAAGCATAGTGTGAAAAATGGCTCTGCAAGTGACAAGGTCCAGAGTAGGCTGCAGAAGGGATTTACTAGGTAGATAAAGAATGAAGTAGCAAATCAAGTTTGATACTATGCTTGTTAAATCATTGTGAGCACTGAAACTTAAAGTTTTCCACTATCTTGAAAACAATCTTAGTTTTACATCAGAAACGTTAATACCTGAATTTTGAGGATCACTCACTTAAGACCTTGCATGTAAAGACTGTGTCAGTCCATCGAACACCGCTCTTACAGGGTGGTGACTCGTATCTGAGATTTCAGTAGCAGGTCATCAGTTTTTCCTGTGACAATGATATTTATGCTTGTAAGCATATGTTGGGCTCAAAATGCACACGTGGTATGGAAAAAATTGTGTTGTCAGCCTTTTGACAGATAGTCTTCTCTGCTGTTCAGTGTAGGGGTTATTTTTTACAGTCATAGCTGTAGAGGTGAGTGAAATTAGAATTCTTTGTGCAAATATGTTTTGTCATGTGTTGATCTCCTGGAGCTGCCAAATGAGATGTCAAAATTGTGGATCAATGTTCTTTGTCACATTGCTATTTGGGTATTACATATGGAACATATACCATTAGCTCCTTTCAGGAGGGTTATTGAGTCATTATTTTGTGTCAGTACTACATTTTTTTTTAAATCAAATTGATCAGCTACGACTAAGTGGCTCAGTTTCCTCTTATCAGTCATCCATTCATTGTGTTTGTTAGAGGAGTCAAGCAGAAGATTGAATATGGAAGATTGACAGCATAATGTTTGTGTGTGGTGCTGTTTATCCTTAAAGTTCTGTGTGTTTTTTGTTCCTTAAAGAAAACTGAGGCTGTTCTTAGCTTTTCAACATTCATTCTGAGAAGGTTAATGATTCTGTGAATCACCATTTCATTTGTCTTCAAACACCTGGCAAATGTGTCAAAATCTTGCTGTCATTTAATTCTCCTTTTCCTGCTCTCTGAAAAAAAATTGAAACTGTTAATCATTAGCATTTTTATTGATATATCAAATACAGGAATAATACCACTTTTTATTGATATATTAAATACTGGAATAATACACTTTTAAACCACTTTTACTGGTTTAAACCCTCTATTACATTTGAGAGATTGTTTTGCTCACAGTGAAATAAGGTATCTTGTATGGTACTCAGGTTACATGAACCCTTATGTTCCCAGTAAAACCACTGAGTTCTACTGGTAGAGTACAGTACTACACAGATTTCTGTAAAAGAAAGTATATTTGATGTATTTTTGTCTCCCTTAAATATTTAAATAATCTTACTTTGGTATTCCTGGGTTTAATAATTACTTCTGCTTTTGAGCACAGCTAACTTGAAAAACTGTGTAGTGTCAGTTCATGCAATTTTGATCATCTTGTGTGGATGCAACTGTAGGAAACACTATCCAATCTCATGTCTTGGATTTTTGGCACGAAATTAAGTACCCAAACCAACCACTGAAAAAATACACACCTTTAACTCTCAAGATTCTAAGTCAATATTCTCTTTCTATTAGCTGTGATTCTAGTTTGTTCTTCTGTGATTACTTTTGTCATGGAGTTGAGGGAAATATGATGCCATGGAAAAAAACAGTTCTGCTTTCATGGTGCTTAATGCGTGAAACATATGCTATATCTGAAGAAGACTAACTGGAATTACTTTGGTTACTGGAAATTGTAACTACACTGCTTTTTGAAGTTTCTTTGAATATTGCAAAGTTTGTCATTATAGTGTTGTATTTCCACATTGCAGCATTATTTCAAGGATGTTGTAAATCAGATAATATTTTTGAGACAATGTTTGAATTTGTGCTGTTACTATGTTGTTACTGTGATAAAGCTGTGGAAATGCTTTTAAAGTCATACAGTTACTGTATTTTTGTGTCTTAGAACTGGATGTAGCTATGTGATGGACTGGTATTTCAGAGCATAGGGCCCTAAGCTAGACTAAATACACTTGTTTCCTATTTTTTATATACATCACAGCAGGACATATTTAGGTTTTTTGATTTTTTTATTCTTTAACATAGTTGAATTTATTTTCTTCTAGCTGTGAATGTAGTTTCTTCTTTGCAGTATTTTGTTTAGAAACAGCTTGGGCTGGGATGGATAATTGTTGGGGCTTTTTATGTATCTTGCCTTTTCCATACCCACATCTTACTCTAATCATTCCCCAGTACAGTAATTAGTTGCACAGTGAACATGTTCACCGGTTCACTCTTTTACAGGGGCTATGTTTTAACGTATGAGCAAGATCAGTACCTCAGGTATAACTGCAACAAAATAATTAATGAATGCTAATTAATGTATTATCATGACTTAATTTCTTTAAGTGCATTTGTCTAAAATTTCTGTTAATTATAAATGAAGAATGAAGAAAGTTCAGGTGGGGAAAGGCTCATCAGATGTCCACTTTAAATCTAGTTAATTTATGGAATAATTGGTAAACTATATTAAAATTTGTTTTGTATTTGGTAAGTGTTATAGAATGGGTAGACAGGAATAGCATTGTTTGATCTGTGATGGTAAATTGGATGTAAATGTTTTGAATTGAGATTTTAAGAATAAAACTAGATTCAGTCATAACTGACTAAGGTATTGTTGCTTGAGAAGTACATACTTAATAAAATTTAGATACCATTCTTAACACTTTTATAGACCTTTAAAATAATACTATTTTGCATTAGCCATCTTATATATGTTTGTTGGGGTTTTTTTCCTATAATATTTCACTTTTAGAATATTTTTACTTTTATAATAGACATAATAGTAATTGTAATATCTAGTGAGCTAGATTCTGGGTTTAGTATTCCACATAATAAAGCTTGCATTCTAGCTTCATGTCACATAAAAAGCCTGTGCAAGACGCTTGTTGTAGGAGCAAATTTGTAAACAATTACAGTAATGGATCAGATGCAGCAAATACTAATAGAGAAGCCTTTAAGTAATTTAAGTATATTTTACTTCACTTTTAAGTAAAAAATAATGCAGATATGCATTCTTTTATTTTAAGATTTATTGTTGTTTGCTGTTTGTCTAATGAATTTCTTTTTTTTGTCCTTTTTTTCTTTTTTTTTTTTTTTTTTTGCAGTCAATCAAGAAGAATTTATTGCTATTATGACTGGAGATATTTAGCATTAGAAGAAAAGAAATTAACTGACCACAAAAGGGAGGAGTTGTTGGCAGCTTCCATTACAATATTTTGTACTTTCATTTATTTTGGTAGCTGGAGTGGTGCAGAAAGTTCTTTGTCACAGGACCAAAATAAAAACCGGTTACATGCACTGATAATTCAGTACTTTGTATCATTAAATGTTATCACTAGGATAATTCATGTAATGTTTTAGAAAAAATAAATAATACTGCATTTCAGAATGTTTGTTTAACTTTGTAAAATAGCCTTGTCTCAAATTTCTAAATTGTATCATATAAGAACTTTTTGAGCTTCTTGACTTTGTGTTAGCATTAGTTGTGGCCTTAGTTTTGATACATAAGGTTTGAAAAACTTCCATTTTAATAAAACATTCTTTACTATTACTGGAATGTCTTATTACTGTAGTTCAGTCTGGGCTGAACTAGAAGGGACAATGAATCAGAGAAAATTTTTTTTTTCTTTTTTCGTTCATAAGCTTTTACTTTTGTTCTTTAGATGAACTGCAACATTAAATGGGCAAGTATATGAATCTTCAAGGATGCTATTTATTAACTCTGTTACCCCTGTATGATAACAAGTGACACACAACTATGCATGATTTCAAAACATGCTTAAATCACTCAGATCTCAGCCAGCAATTCTCTCTCCACTATCCACAGTTCCGATAGTTGTGGAGACAATGATGGTGGCAAACTTCCTGCAAGCCAAGCAGTATGCTTTAGAATCTAATAGCAGAAACACCCCATGTGAAATATAAAACATATTTTAAAAATCCATTAAAAAACCTGCAACAAACCCCCACAACTCCTAACCAGTATTTTGCAATCTTAGATTTGTTTGGGAGGTGAATTTTTAGGGGAAAAAATTCAGTGTTTGGGACTGAGCTTATGGATGGCTCTTAACAAGTATTTTCTAGGATCACTACAAGAATTGTCCAGTAGCTTCTGAATTTACTTTTAATTTTTTTGTAAACTATTTCAGGGGCACTTTTAGTTTCTGCAGACAATCAAAGTGATAAAGAACAGGAATGGTCTGTTTGTAGTCTTCAAAAAACTTTTTCCTCAAAAATCCTACCTTTAAATGTGCTAAGTGTTCTAACATGCTGCAGTGGTCTTTAGAGGGATGGTGCCATCTCTGTAGATGGCTGGTACTTATTTTTTGATAGGTGACCACTTACTATGTGTAACTCTTCCAGTAAGATATACTTTTTGTCTTCTGAATTGAGGCCTTATTTCTAGCTTTTGCAATATACTTGGTAAACCTTACTTTGTTCTTGCAGACATAGCATCATTTGTTAGGGGCCAGGTAACAATAATTGTAAGGCTACATAAACAGGCCAGTGACCTGGAGAGAGGTCTTGTAAGTCACTCAGACTGTGGGAGTATCACAGAAGAAGGGAAAAATAAACTATCAGAATAGTGATACTATTTTCTCAGTAGTACTTGCACTAGTGTCTCAATGTTTGGTTTTACTTTTTTTCCTCATTTCATTGTTCTGGATATTTTTGCATTTCAAAACAAAATGTGCTGCTGACTGTTGATCTTGCAGTTTTGTGTACTGGGGTACACAATAATTATGTCAGATCAGAGACCAGAGCATGGTAAGATAAAATCTCTAAATTTGCAACTTTCAGCTCGGCCCCAGCTTTGATGCTACTTTTAATTCTCTTTGCTTTGTGGCGTTCACACCTATCCTGCTACTTTTTTCATAGTTCTCTTGGTGTATCATAGGATACAGATTCACAGTTTTTTCTTTTTATACTTTGCCTGATGTCATAGAGGCAAGTAATGTGGCACATTTTATCATCTCTGTTGTAGAACACCGTTAAGGGGTCATCACTACATATGTAATAGGTGTGCTGTTGAATGTGTCCCTTATTTCTAGACTTGCAAAAGTGGGTTAGTGTTAAATGAACAAAGTCTGCCTTGGAGTACCGGGAACAGATGTTCCTCTGTCACCTCTGCTGTGGAGGACAGTGATGCCTGGTGGAAGTGTAAGAATGGCAGCTTGGTGTCACCAGTAGGTCAGACATGACATACACACACGTGATCAGGGTCCAAGAAGAAAAAAGGTTTTTTTTCTGCGAGTTCTCCAGCTTATATACCCTTAACAAAGTGTGATCTTAAGTCATTAACTACATCACAATAACTTATATTCATTGGTGCAACACAATTAACATCAATATAATTGGCAAAAGTTTTACAGAAATTTAATAAGGCACATATACACATCTACTTATGCATGTAGCTGGTCTTACAAAAATGTTCACGTATCTTTTCTAATCTTTTCCATGCTGATGGCCTTGTCTTCTTCCTTGCTATGTATACACTTGAAAATCATCAATTGTTCTTTCTTCCATTAACTCAGCTTTGCTTGCAAGCCAGCTGTCAAGACCCTCCACAGCTCAGCAAATGTTGTAATCCATTGCAATGAAATCACTGGAACCTCTTTTTAAGAGCTTATAGTAACAATTGCTTATAACAGCCAAATATCAGTAATTCCATTAATTAATCCCTGATTAATTGCATGCAACTTTCAGGAAATTGAAAACTTTAAAAAAAAATACCATGTTGGAAAGCAGTGTTCATCAAATACTACTCTACTGGCTTATTTTAGAGTTATCTTTTATGTACTAGGTTTGTGACATCAATCATATTTGGTTTGTGTTTATTCATGCAAAATTTCTATGGCACAGTTAAGTCATCAATAGATAATGTTAAAGTTACATGTGCTGCATCATGTAAAGGCTCTGATTGAATTGAGAAATATCTTGAGTGTTTTGCTGGTGTGCTTGACTTTACATCACAGCTGTGCTTAACTGTGCTGTAGGGACTTGGCAGAGGGGAAAAGGGAAACTGTCTGGCAACAGAGCAGGGGCCAAAGAGGCAGTTTGTGACAGGAGAGATGAGCACAGAGCCACTGGGAAGGGACACAGCTGAGTGTGTCTAAAGCCTGAGTCTAAAGCTAAACCACAGGCCAGCATGAGAGGAATGGCAGCCCAAAGGGGAGGGCATCAGGGTCCATGTTGATCTCTTTGTCTTTGGTCTCTCTAGTTCACAGTAGAGCTCACGGACACAGCTTCTCTTCCTGCACTGTGGCTGCAGCTCAGGAAGATGTTTCTGTTGTGACTGGCATTGTTGGAGATTGTGTGGTAGTTAAGCCATGAAGCAAAGTGTGGAGAAATCCTTCAATTGTTAAATCCCTGGCCAAAGAAAGTTTTGCAGCCTATGTGCAGTTCTGGGATATTACAAAGTAAACTTTGTTAGGAGAAGTTTTTATCACAAATTACACAAGAATGGAGGATAAGGACAATTGCACCAAATCCATTTGCCCCACAGATTGCTTGTAGTTGCTCATAACCCCTCACACAGTTGGAGGTTTTTTGTGAACTCATATCTGATGGATGCACTGCTCTGTTGAGACAAATTTCAGCAGAAAACACCCTGGAATGACCATTTCCTCTAAACAGAAAGGGCTTCAATAGTTCTTTTTTCTTCTGCCACAGAGAAAAATGGATACCCAGGGGTGAAAAAAAAAACAAAAACAACCTGTTTATTAAAAAAAGAAGGAAAAAAAAAGTGCGCACAAGGGACAGAAAAAGAAAGAAAAAAAAATTGAATAAATGATGAGGAACCTTAACCCCCAGAGACCCAACAGCAGCCTTCTGTCGGCTGTCAGGCCATTTCCCCCTTGGTGCAGTTCCAGTCACAGCCGGCAGGGGCGCTGGTGGCTCCCCAGCTGGGCCGGGCAGGTGCGGTGATTCCCCCGCGGCTGTAGGTGGCGCTGTAGCAGCACCCAGGTTCAATCGTCCCTCTCACACGGCAATGGCTGACACGGCCGGCAGAGGGGATGGAAAAGGAGCTTCCTTTACAAGCCGCAAGGGGCAGCCGACCGTGGTGCCCCTCTGGATAGCGAAAGGAGCTGTAGCAGGGAATTTCAGGAGAAGCAAGCTGGAACGGAGGTAGCTACAAGCCGGAAGGCGGAGGGGGGTGAAGAGCTGCAGTGTAGCAAAACTCTTGGCAGAGGCAGGGCGAGGGGTGGGAGCAGCAGCATAGCTGCCGAGCGCAGCAGTGAGGCTGCCCGGCCTTTCTGTCTGCCGGTGGCGAGCAGCCCCCAGCGGGAAACGACGTGATCCCGGGGTCCTGGGGCACGCAGTGGCTCGGGGCTTCCCACAGCAGAGCAGCGAAAGAAGCCAAGGCGGCAAGCTCAGTCACAGCGAAAGAAAAGAAAAAAGAAAAAAGAAAAGAAAAGAAAAGAAAAGAAAAGAAAAGAAAAGAAAAGAAAAGAAAAGAAAAGAAAAGAAAAGAAAAAGAAAAAGAAACCCTCCCCAAAAAACACACCGGGGGGCGGTGGGGTGGGCACAGCAGCCGCCGCCCCTGGGCACAAAACACATCAACACCTAAATGGGGTGGGATAAGGATAAACCAAGACACACTCGTTTATTTGTTTTGGTTGAACTGAGTCCTACTATTAAGCAGTAATTGGCTTTGACTGCAACTTGCCTTAGTGCACGAGGAAGCTGTTTGAAGCAAGAGCTGCGTTTTCTGCGACCTTTCAATTAAGTCAATAGGTTGTAGAAGATACCAACTTGCACTAGGAAAACTTTTGTATAACTCTTTCTGTAGTTACTACAGATGTAAATCTGTAGGGATGCTTAGAATGTTCCTATTTTTAAGTAAAGAAAGAAAAACGATTCTGCAGAGGGAAAAAGTAGGACAGTGTTTTTGGTGCTTCCCTAAGGTACAGCAAGGGAAATATCTGGACAGATCTATTCAGACATTTATTAAGGTGTTACACTTATTAGCACAAAATCAGTAGAAGCATCATATACTTCTGGGGAATGTGCAAGTGTCTTACTTTTATGATTGCACAAATGGTACATCTACTGCAAAACTGTTGCTAAGCAAACAGAACACATTGGCAATTACCAGCAGTCAGGAGTGATAGCTCTCAGAATACATAAGTGGGAAAATTCCATATGTAGGTCTTTTTAAAATTATATATGAGCGTATTGGTCGTGGAGGTTGTATTTTGGACCTTTACTATTTGAAAACCATTTATAAAACAGTACTTAAATGAATTTCAAGGAAGAAATAAATTTAAAGGAATAATTTTTTTTTAAATTTTCCTCTTAAAGGGATAAAGAATGGGCTTAGCAGGAAGGGGCTGCTTTTGTAAATAAGATAATTTCAAATGTTTAGTAGAAATGATGTTATAATATCAGATAATTATTTTTAATTGGAAACAATAATTATGAATTCTTTATTTTAATTGTAAATTAATGAAATGAACTTCTGAGAGGTCTTATTTTGTTTGATTTTTTATTTGAGCTTTCAATTTTTTTTTTTTAAATTTTGTTGTTTGGCATGGGGTTTCTTTGTTC